TCCATCTCAATCACGACAGCGGTAGCAGGTGAGCGAAGACGATTCGGTCGATGTCGACGTACGATGAACGTCCGTCGGCGGCGACGCCCTTCCACCCTCCGCGACGCCCTTACCACGCAGTTCACGCAGACTGTGTGCTGCAGTCTCTGTAGCCTGCGCCAGTTCCACGGCCTTAGTGAGTAACCGTTTCTGCATTGCCGTGTCATTGATTCCGCAGACGAGGCGATCGCGGATCATCACCTCCAACGTATCGCCAAAGTTGCATAACTCCGAGAGTGAGCGTAACTCTACGACGTATACGTAGACTCTCCAGATTTCCTTGAGCGGCTGTGGAAATTGATCTTTCGACGATCTCCGACGGTGCGGACGGAAGTGTTTCGAGAGCACGAGTATACGGAAGCCCATTGGGGCCATTCTGTACGAGTATACGCTGTACTCTTTCTCTCCGGGCTTCGCTGGCGAGACTATATTTCGCAGCGTCTTGCAAGTAGCAGCTCCAATAACTGAGCGGCTCGCTTCTTGGCCGCATCAGTAATTCGTTGGCAGCGAAAAAGTACTCGAGACTCAGACGTTCCACATACTGTTGCCAATCGCTGTCCTTGCTTCCGTCGAATTCTTCTGTTCGACCCAGTGTGCCACCGGCTGATATCCCGACTCTCGGCGCCAATTGTCGTGCGTGACACGTTCGCCATAGCAGACCAATACACACACTACTTATATACAGGATACGGAAATGATGTAACATGATGAGGTGGGTGACGTCACAATACATATTATTGACATGAACGATGGGAGTTGTGTGTCTGTTGAGTCTCCTCTGGTCTCTGGTGGAGGTCCACTCTCAGACCTTTCCTTATGTCTCCTTCAAAGGCCAGACTCTGCCCAACCATTCCTATGTGAACCTCGGTCTAGTGGGGAATGATGGCAGTGGTAGTGACAGTGTTCAGTGTCACACTGACCTGAGCACATGTTGTAGTGTTGAACAGGGTCCTCATCGTGGAGACTGGTACTTCCCCAATGGAACGAGATTGCCATTCTCTGGAAATGGCGGTATCTTTCAAAGCCGTTGGCAGAGAGTTGACTTACGCCATCGTAGTCATGTTACCTCCGCAACTGGTATCTATCGCTGTGATATTCCAACAAATACTGTCTCCAGTAATACTGACACTTCAGTGAGAGACACAGTCTATGTGGGGCTGTATACTACTGGAGGTAAATGCTTTTGTTGCCTACGTCGAACTTATGATGGCTAAAGAGCATGAAAGCAACTATATGTAAGCCTTATTGTTCATATTGTTCCATACTTCAAATAATTAATCATCGCCCTCTACATTGAAGAAACTATGAGCCATTATTGTTTGTAGCACGGTGGATAGTTATAGTAGCCCATTTCCCCTAGTCAAGTATGGGCTTGAGTTGGCATCGCGTGGGAATGAAAAATTAGGCTCTAGTGGGACTCTTGGGTTCCGATTTAACTATAGCATTTTACTGTAGGGGACATCACGATATCTGGAGATGTGACATTTGACTCTGACCAGCTGACCCTCACCTGTATCTCCACTGGTGGACCTGCTACCACTGTCACTTGGACCAGAGACTCCACCACTGTCACCCAAGGAACCCAGACTGTGTTAATTGACCCAGTGATTGCACAGTACACCCACACTCTGACTGTGACTACTGCAGGAGAATACACTTGTACTGTTTCTAATAACAAGCCATCATCTGCTGCCTCTACAATCTTTGTAGCAGGTATTATTATGCATTTTTATGGTAAATTGCCTCAGTGCTTGTGTAAACGCTGGCTTATTAAAAAAATTTAATTGTCGTGTCGTCGTGCTGCGTGAGTTTCAGAGTTTTTATATTTTTCTATGAGTTTATTGGTCCTTTGAGGCTTTCTATTTTTCTACCGGCTGTTGTTTTTATCCTGTAGCTGTCGTTTTTTGTACATGATTTCTATCTATTTATTTTATAACTATGTGTAAGGGAGGTTGGGACACTGGGTGTGTAGGGAGAGTTGGGCCCATAAAAGACTCTTTAACCTACCGCCCCGGTTCTCAAGGCTGGGCACCCAGGGTCCTGCCTCTTTCTTTCTGTTTATATGTTATTGTCTGTGTTTTTGTACGCTTGGGTATGTTATTGTCTGTGTTTACTGTGCTTGGGTGGGGGAGGTTCTTTCTTTTCCTCTGAGCTAGTATGCTATAAACATGTTTTTTCATGCTCCAGGTGCGTCGACTCCTACTGGTGTGACAGCAGTCCGTGGTCCCACTAGTATCACAGTGACCTGGACTCCTCCCTCTCCACTGGGAAATACCACTGGCTACAGGATCTCCTACACCACAGGCAGTGATGTGGATATTGATGGTGGCTCTACCAACAGCTACACTCTGACTGGTCTTACCAATGGAAAGACATACACTATATCTATTGTTACCACATCATCTGGTTTACCTAGTGCACCGTTGGTGGTCACGGTTAGTTTAGGTATGTCATATAGCTCCATGTTCCTTGAACACACCACCTGAGTCACCTTCACTAGGTTCTAGTATAGAGAGAACACCTGATACTATGGGGTACAAGGGCGCTCTTAGGATGGTGTTATCTAGGATCCTAGGTAAACCCCTATTTACATAGAATCTACTAGCCACCTCATACTCTCATACCACCGTGAAACTTATCGTATCGTAACATGTTCAACTTAATATGTTCCACTCCCCCCAAATCCTAATCTAATTTTGTCTCGAACCCAGACCCAGCCTTCTCTCAAGGAAAAGTGTATGGTGACTATTGAGTGATTTCTTGGTTGTGCTGACTCGACAGTCTTACTTTCTGAGACAGCGAATCAGATTGCAGTAAAATTATGCTACACGCGTGAAATGTCACCCGATGTTGCGCAATCATTCATAATGCAACTCCGTGAATTCCATTGTCTGTGAGCGAAATGCTAACTCTATGAAAGTGTTTGACAGTAATCACATGCTGTTTAACAGCTACACTCTGACTGGTCTCACCAATGGACAGACATACACCATATCCATTGTTGTCACATCATCTGGTCTGCCTAGTGCACCGTTGGTAGTCACGGTTAGTTTAGGTATGTGATAGTTTACACAGGGAAGTGTTTCAGTTTTACAATGAGCACCCCACAAACAATCTATTTTCTCAGTGTGTGTACTCTGATATTTTGCTCCCACCACAGTTCCATCAGCTCCATACATTGACTCAACTCCAACAGTCACTTCCACTACTGTCACCATCACTGGTAATGTCCCCAGTGACTCGGTGGTGACTGGCTTCTCAGTCCAGTGGCAGAGACACCTCAGGTGGCTGTTCTAATGAGGATGAGGGAAGCATTATTGCGACTGGCAGCTTCACTAGCTATACAATAACTGGACTAGAGGAGGGGAATAGGTACACCATCACTGTGAAACTCTTCAATGATGCTGGTAGAGGTCCAGTCAGTAACTCTGTTACTGCAAAGACCACTGAAGCTGGTAAGGGGCAGTACAATTGTCTAGTTCCTTAGTTGTTAGCTGTTTTAGTCTATTACAGCTCCCAGTGGTTCTCCGGCCTCAATCACACTGGGTACACTCACTGCTAACAGTGTCACTCTGCAGTGGGGGGAGGTGGCATGTCTGGAGAGAAATGGAGAGATCACTGGCTACACAGTTACTGCAGAAACCTCTGATGGGGTGCAGTAAAAGTAACATCTAGTGTTAACGTAGATGCTAGACAAGCCACAATCTCTGGACTGATTCCATCCACACAGTATACTGTGTCAGTGGCTGCAGTCAATGGTGTTGGTACTGGACCTGTCACTAGCCTCCCTGTAGAGACTCAAGGTGAGAGGTTGAAGTCCATTCCATACTTTGCTCTTTTTAGCAAGCAAGCACTGATAATGCATGAATCATTGCCGGGCAAAGAAAGTTGTAGAAAGAAAGCCAACCCAGTCATTCCACTAATATGTCCAAGAACACGAGCCTGTCATTATCTCTTTAGGTCCCCCACCTCCTACTGGTGTGACAGCAGTTCAGGATGGTCCCACTAGTATCACAGTGACCTGGACTCCTCCCTCTCCACTGGGAGATACCTCTGGCTACAGGATCTCCTACACCACAGGCAGTGATCTGGATATTGATGGTGGCTCTACCAACAGCTAAACTCTGACTGGTCTCACCAATGGACAGACATACACCATATCCATCGTAGCAATGGCTCCAAATAGACCAACAAGTTCTCCCATTGAAGCTGAAGTCACACTAGGTCAGAGCCACACACTGCTGAATATGTTCTGTTTATGACTCATTCTCCATTCATCAGTGGGTGTTCCAGAGAAACTAACTGTGGACATGGACAACATTGAGACCTCGCCCACTACTATCACTACCTCCTGGAGCTTTCCTCCCGATGCCACTGGCTCTGAGGTGAGCTGGGAGCTAACGGGGCAGATGAGAAGAAGACGAGTCAGCGATGCTGAGGGAGTGACTAGTGGACGACTCCCAAAAGACCAGAGCAGCTACACAATTGGACGCCTGAGGAGTGGAACTAGCTATGATATCACTGTAACAGTCTTCAACCCTGCTGGGAACTCTTGTTGCACCCCAGACATTGTCCATGTGCATGAAGGGTTAATTAATGGCCTCTAACTCACTGTAGTTTTACAATGCTGCGTTCTTCCACCACCTTTACTCACTCTTCAGCTGAAGGTTAGTGTGTCTATTTATATTTGTACTTCATTTGCTTCACCGATATACTGTGGAACCTCTGAATAATGGATGCATTGGGACCAGCCATTATGTCATCTTTGGAGGTTGTATCCTCCCTTAAATTGATTGTTAAAGTGTGTACTTTGGGACCTTAAGTAGTGTGTCCTATATTGAAAGGTATTTTGAATTGCGTCCTTGATTCAGAGTATCCCGTACATGAGGGAGGTTTTACTGTGTGTCGTATTAACTTTTTTCTTTCTCTAGCTACATCAGACTCGTGCATTAGGAGTGATTCATCAGCATTGGTAGCATCTCTTGGTGGTGTGTTGGGAGTGGTGATTGTGATTGCTATAGTGGTGCAGGTTATGGTGATAGTCTTTTTCATCAGGAAACTCCAAAGAGCTAAAGGTAACATGACTATGGACCTCCATAAAAAACTGTCAACACTTTTTCCTTTTTATGCAGCCTCCATGAACACTACTGGCGTAGAAATGCCCACATTGTCAGGAAAGAAATATCTGTAGGTTAAGTGCCACAAATGCAGGTTCTATCATTGGACTTTACTTCATTCTACTTTCAACTGTGCCTTGTTCCATCAGGGGCTCAGAGCAGTTCCAGACCTCCAGTAATGAGGCCTACAATGTAGTGAGAGGGACTGGAAGTACAGTTGAAGGTGAATATGAGGTACCACGAGACCTTCCTCCCTCCACCTCCTCCCAGCCTACCACTGCTGCTGCTGGAGACTCTCTCTATGAGCCTGTGTGATGTGTCCCTACATTACTGTTCAACTTAGTCTCGTTGTTAATACGAAGATTGGGCTCAGTGGTAACCATTGTTGGCGTGTAATTATGTTGATTTGCTAGTAAACGCAAGTCGAGAGAGTAAACTCTCATGGATTCCTTTATACATGGTCTATCTTCCACCCACACCCCAGAACAAAATGACGCACCAAACACGTGAAAACAGTGAAAGATGCACAGAGATGCACATGATCAAACATATCATCATGTCACAGTTTGAGTCTTCATCTTCTTCTCGGGAGGAGGCTGTGGAGATTTCTCGTCAGCTCTGGTGTCGGAGGTGGGGAGCTTATTGGCCGAGCCTCTCTGGTGGCGCATCCTCTCCTCCTTGCGGGCCAGGTACTGGGTCATGTTGTCAATGGTGGTCTTCCGCAGACTGCACCACTCCATACCCTCCCCACACTCTGGAAGGGATTATATTATGGCGGTGTTAAGTAGCCTTCTGGTAAAGTGACCAGGCTATATGATTGTATATAGCTAGCAACTCCATGCTGGTTCTAAGGTACTCTGGTGGAGCCACACCCAAGAGACCCTTGTGCTTCATGCTAGTGGGTGTAGCTCTGCCAGACTAGTTCTAGGGAGAAGAATACATACTTGCCTTCTCGTGTTTCTTAGTACACTAAACAACCACGACCAAAACACCATGCTTAGCTTAGGCTATTTGTTTGTTGCTTGGACCATGGTTCCCGATTTTCCGATGATGCTGATGGTGGAGGAGGAGGAAGGGTACAGGAAATTTTTGTATTTCGTCAAGGTGTGTGCCACTTGTGTTTGTACACCATTGCCTTGAACACCTGGGGTAGTGAGATGTCAGTTGGACGACCAGATCCTGGGTTTTTTTGCTGCAACATTGTGCACTAGAGTTGTGTTATTCCAACCTCACCACTCTGTACAGTTTTTAACATGGTGGGGAGGTAGTAACTAAGGGCAGTCTGTAATCACTGGACTGTACTACTGGAATGACCTTTGACCGCAGTTTGCGCATGCGCAAGAGAATCCTTTACCATAATTATTTCTTTCCTTTTTTCTTTTTTTGCTGCCTTTACTGGTGTATGCAATAATAACTCCAGAGATCTTACATTATCTTCACATTGCCCGTTCTGACCATCTGTCTGCTCTCAGCGCCTCATCGCCCACCCAATAGGCTACTCTGTTGCAGTGGAAGTTACAAAGAAGAATAATAATAATTGCCTGCACGTACACTGAAAGGAGGGCGGAAAACGAAACCGGGGAGAAGCGTAGTCTTCCGCGCTGCACTCGCAGTTTTTGTCGCCCTGGAAGGGATACACGAGGCGTGCCTGCGTGTCCGAACTGGGAGCGCGCTACTGGTACGGCCACGCCCAAACATGCGTGGCCGACACGGACCGTTATGACGTTTTTACAAGATTTCTAAAGCCCGTGATTTCCCACTGATTTCTACTGATTTCCACCTGACTTCAACTGATTTCCAGTTCCGTGATTTCTAGAGATTTCAAGATTTCCGAGTGATTTCTACTGATTTCAACTGATTTCCAGTGACTTCTAGATTTCTAATGATATCTCGATATCTTGAGGGTGTGGCCGGCCGGCCGGAACGAGTGACTCAGTTGTGCGCGCGCCGCAGCAGGGTCGGCCTTGTAGTTTACTTACCACCACACCAGTCAACCACGGAGCTATACGGAGCAGAAAGGAGGCGCGCGCACGGCAACTTGTCCACTTTTCGCTGATTTCCCTTGATTTCCAACTGATTTCTGACCATGAGCGTTTCCACCCGTGTCGTAACCCCCTAGCGGTATAGAAAGGAAATGCTTGCGCATGCGCAAACTGCGGTCAAAGGTCAGTCCTGTAAGTGGTGCAGTCCAAGTAGAGTCCAGTCCAGCGATTACACAGCCTTTTGGCGGTGTTGTTTCTTGAAATTCTTACTCTCTCAATGGTAAGGAACCAAAGCTGTGTGTGTGAAGCTATGATAAAGAGGGTGCTATTGGAAAGTGTAGTTCTCACTTTTACTAAGCCACAACTGATGATACGTACGTGTACCTACTTCTATGCAAGGCACCACTACTGTGTGTTAAACTATGTAGTATGTAGTATGTAGTAGAAGCAAGATGTAGGCCTGAATAATAGGTAGGACCCTATTTAGCATAGGGGCCTTAATTAAACACAAACTCTATCTACTACGCAACAATGACACGTGTACCAACTTCTATGCAGATATCACTGTGCTTTCAGTAGTAATGGCTGAAAAACCGCAAGCAACAACCGAAAAGCCTGGAAATCCAGCTCAGCAAGCACTAGAGAAGCTGTCGAATCAGCTGTCGTGTTCGGTGTGTCTGGAGGGGTACCGGAGACCCAGAGTACTGCCCTGTCTCCACGTCTTCTGCGAGGCCTGTCTGGAGAAACTGGTGTGGACACAGAGAGACAAATTGAGTGCCCCGTGCCCCAACTGCCGCAAGCCCGCCCCTCTCCCCGAAGGGGGCGTGTCCAGCCTGCCCTCCGCCTTCTACATCCAGCACCTTTTCGAGGTGAGAGAGGTCTTGGAGAAGGTGCGGGACCCAGAGAAGGCACAGTGTGACAAGTGTGGGGAGGGAGAGGTGCAGGGTTTCTGTCGAGACTGTGGCCAGTTCATTTGCCAGCACTGCCTCGTTACGCATCGTAAATGGAAAGAATTGCAGGGGCACGAAATATCCACCCTCGACCAAGTTCAAGAAACAGCCTTGAAAATGGTGACACCCAAAAAGGTGAGCTCCACGTGTTTCAAGCACACAACAGAGCCCATCAAGATCTACTGCGAGACGTGCGATGAGTTGATATGTCGTGACTGCACCGTCAAGATCCATCGCGACCACAACTACGACCTCGTCTCGGACACCTTCCCCAAACACAGAGATGCCATCCTTGCCTGCCTAGGTCCCGTCAAATCTGAACTTGCTAGTGTAGGGAGCACAATTGCACAGCTGAAGGCAAGGTCCAGCAGGCTAGATGGACAGGGTATAGAGGTGAAGGCACAGATAGATGCCGAAGTAGACAAGCTCCAGGCCATCCTAGAGGCTCGCAGGAGGGAGCTTCACTCCCAGATAGATGGTGAGGTGTGTCAGGGGAAGAAGAAGCTGGCAGCCCGGATTGATGGACATGAGTTGAGGCAGGCCCAGCTGAGCAGCTGCGTGGAGTTTGTGGAGGGGAGTCTGCAGAGTGGCACACAAGAGGAGGTGCTGTCGATGAAGAGACAAGCGGAGAAGAGGGCATGGGAGATGGCAGAAGAGTTCAAACCTCAGCAACTGGTGTTGGGTCCAGAGAAGGAGATTAGTGTGGTGTGTGCAGATTTGAGTTCAGCATGTCAGACATTAGGAGAAGTGAAGTTGGAGACGGTCCAGTTTAAAGGTACTCACGTCGAGACCATTAGTGAAATAAAGCACCCACGACATAGTGCTTTTGCCAAAAATGGGGAAACCATTGTCTGTGAGCGAAATGCTAACCGTATGAAAGTCTTTGACAGCAATCACAGGCTGTTGCGATCATTTGGAACCAAAGGACCAGAGGAAAACAGACTTAATGAACCAAGAGGAGTAGCCATCTCTTCTGATAACACAGTGTTTGTAGTTGGTGGGAATCATTGTGTGAAGAAATTCACTCTCGAGGGTCAGTTCATAGCATCAGTGGGTTCAAAGGGCAGTGGACGACTGCAGTTCAACACACCATTTGCCATAGCCTACCACCACACCAACAACAGAGTGTATGTCTGTGACACTGATAACCATCGCATCACAATCCTCAACCATGACTTGACCTTCCATCGCAGCTTTGGAAGTAGGGGAAGTGAGGTATGTCAATTCAACAAGCCTGAGGGAATATCTGTCAACAGAAGAGGAAATGTATTAGTAGCTGACTATTGCAATAACAGAGTTCAGATGTTCGATGCTAATGGCCGTCATCTGTCATCCATCACTCACACCGGAGCAGGAGAGGGACTAAGAGGACCAGTCAGTGTGGCAGTTGGACCTAATGACTGGGTGTATGTGGTTGAACAAAGCTATCCCAGAGTATCAGTATTTGATGAGAATGGCAAGTACATCAAGCCATTTGGGAAGGGAGGGAATGAAGATGAAGAGTTCAGTGGTCCACTTGCCATAGCTGTCAGGGATGATGGTTATGTCTTTGTTAGTGACACATTCAACAATCGAGTTCAAATATTCCAGTGACACGAAACATGTAGAAAATATGCCTCAAAATTTCACCCGTTCAACTCTTTGTGTGCAATTTGCGTATCTCTGTATTAACTGCCAAATATTGCAGAGAAGAAATTCTTCAAATTTCAATATTAAAGCGCAAATCTATAGCAAAACTACAAGTACACTCGCCCAAGTGTTACATCTCCCATATGTATGTTCGCGTCTGTACAGAGCTGCACGCTAATCATGGTTTCTTGCTAGTTTACTCAGAGTCTGACACAGCAGCTCCTACACTAGTAGGTACGTAGTGGTTTAGGAACAAGTTGAATTATGGAAATGCTCCTCGTTTGCATAATTATTGTTTGTGTTCACTTGCTTTCGATTTCACGATGGTCCTGGCTCAAGGCTTCCTTCCAAGCAGTCGGGGTGGACTCAACCTGCGGAGCACTGCTATTCACGCCCCCGCAGCCTTCCTGGGCTCCAGTCCACGTGTGTGCCCTTTGGTAGATTCTCCTGGACCTTCACCTCACATTCCCCCAGCCCTTCTGCTGCTGCCAACCGTCCTGATTGGACTAATCTCTATGATGTGGATGTCCCTATTTATCAGTGCTCACTCTCCGTCGCCATCGACGAAGCTATCTACAAAAACCTTCTCTCCACTGCCCCTGACACTCGCTCCAGAGCCCTAGCCCACTCTTCAAGTCTTCCACATGCTGGGGACTGGCTGAACCACTCCACTTGACCTTCTCATCCATGACCAGGAGTTCCGCTGCTCTTTCAGGTACTGGTTGGTGTGTCCCTCTTTATGGGAGCAGCTATCTATGTCCTGAATGTGGGCTCCAGGCAGATGTAATAGGGGACCATCCGGTGGGTTGTAGAGGGAATGGAGACAGGATTTCCCGACACAACAACCTCAGAGATGTCCTCTTCTGCTGCCCTTGGCCCGAGAAAGGAGGTTCCTGGAATCGTTTCTAATTCCAGTGCCCACCCCGCTGCATTCTGCTTCCTAACTGGAGGGCGGCAGCCGTAGACGTGTCAGTCATTTCGCCACCACAGCGGCTAACCTTGGCCGAGACTGCAGTGACCCCAGGCAATGCTCTTGAGGTATGTGTCCGCCGCAAGCTCTCTGCCAACCTACAAGCGTGTCGTGCCGCTGGAATGGAGTTCATTCTGGTGGTGGTGGAGACATTGGGCGGTTGGGTTCTGGGGACGTCTTCTACCATTCGCAGAATAAGTGAAGCCAGAGGGTGAACCCTTCCTGTTTGCCTCACACCACAAGACACCTTTTCGGCCGTCTGGGAATCGCTCTTTGGCCACACTATGGCCCCGCCTCTACCCCCTCAAACCGATGCCGTCATTTGACATTAGCCTTGCATCACTCTACTTATTGTATTTTGTTTTAGAAGTAGGTGCACACAACGACACTCTGCTTAGAAGGTTTCGTAACAACTCCATCCTCCACCCCCCCATATTGTTGCCTAGGTTAATTATTGAACATTACAATACATAGTGGACTTGCAGCTTGAAAATACCGAAAAAGTCATGCTGAGTAACCAACACCGGTACCATAACAATGGTGAAGTCATGCTACTGAGTAGCCATGGGTCGAAATGGAGTTTACGAGTGGCACACCAGGCACTGATATAGGGATTGTGTGATGGGATCGGGGTGTTGGCGTGCTCAAATCTGTTCATTAACTATGCTTCATGTGTCCCATCCCTATCTTGTCTCCCTTTCTTTTTATACCATCCCTATATGCCTCTTTTTTGAATTCGCACAATTTAAAATTTACTTCTATTAACCCTCGGCGCGCATGCGCAGCGAGGGTTACGGTAGTTGTCCCGTAAGTGTGTCAGTCCGTCAGTCCGTCAGTCCGTCTGTCTGTTACCACGTTTTCTGCCACCGCGCGCACGAAATCAGGTAAATACCGATATGATCGGGTTCAGTGCTACACTGGGTTGATTTTTAAGAAGGCGATTTTCGTAAAACTACTGTGTTTTAAAGTTATGGCGTGAAAACCAAGTGAACAAGCCAATATGTAAATTAGCACAGGCTTACCTCGACCGCGTCCGTTCGCTCTGTGTGTCTTGAAGGCACAACAAGTCACAACGAAGGGCATGTATCGACTCCCGCATGCTATATACTACTGTAGCTAGCCCGTGCCAGACTCTCCGCGAGCTACTAGCGGGATACCACGAGTGAAGGCATAATAAGCCCAGCCCATCAATTAGTGTTATCGCACATGCGCAGTTCGCCGAGGGTTTGCACTTTAATTTTTAATGTAGTGGTGTCTGTCTTGACTATCTCACATTCCAAACCTTCATTGATGTGCTTGTGAATTATGCCCAAATTGTTGCAGCAACCTTCACTGTTGACGAAGGCGGGGGTGACAGGCTTTTTATTTTCTGTTGCCATATATGGACATAGTGGTTACAATAATTTGGCAGGGCTGGTTGGAATGTGCAACAGATGAACGATGCGGCTTGTCTCTCTGTTGAGTCTCCTCTGGTCTCTGGTGGAGGTCCACTCTCAGACCTTTCCTTATGTCTCCTTCAATGGCCAGACTCTGGCCAACCATTCCTATGTGGACCTCAGTCTAGTGGGGAATCATAGCAGTGGTAGTGACAGTGTTCAGTGTCATACTGACGTGAACACATGTTGTACTCCTGTTTGGGGTGGTTATCGTGGAGATTGGTACTTCCCAAATGGAACGAGATTGCCATTCCATGGAAATACCGGTATCTACAAGACCCGTGGAGGTCAGAAAGTTGGCTTAAGTCGTAATCGTGATACCTCACCTACTGGTATCTATCGCTGTGATATCCCAACTTATGCTGTCCATGATAATACTGACATCTCAGTGAGAGACACAGTCTATGTTGCACTGTATACTGACAGTGGAGGTAAATGCTTTTGTTAGTTACTTCGAAATTTGATGGCTAAAGAGCACGAAAGCAGCTATATGTAAGCCTTACATTGCAACCTCGTTAATACGAACGCTGTTAAAGTGAAATACCTGCTTAATACGAACCACTTTGAAATCTCTGGCATTATAACACTAATACAACTAGCTACTGTTATAGTGAAATTCCTTTTAATATGAACATTTTGACGGTCCCCTGGAGTTCATATTAACGAGGTTCAACTGTATTGTTTGTAGAGCTGTGCTGGTTTACCTTCTCATCTGAGTTGGCATGGCATGGGAACTAAAAATTTACTCTAGTGGAATTCTGGGTTCTTGGTTGGTTGATTTCACTAACATTGCACTGTAGGAGATATCACGATATCTGGAGATGTGACATTTGACTCTGACCAGCTGACCCTCACCTGTATCTCAACTGGTGGACCTGCTACCACTGCCACTTGGACCAGAGACTCCACCACTGTCACCCAAGGAACCCAGACGGTGTTCAATGACCCAGTGACTGCACAGTACATCCACACTCTGACTGTGACTACTGCAGGAGAATACACTTGTACTGTGTCTAATCCCAAGCCATCCTCTGCTTCCTCTACAATCTTTGTAGCAGGTATTATGCTTCTTATGGTACAGTTCCTCAGTGCTTGTAAACTATTTGTAAAAGCTGGCTGACTAGGTTTTTATTAATGGCAATTGACTTGTTTATGCTCCAGGTGCATTGCCTCCTACTGGTGTGACAGCAGTCCGTGGTCCCACTAGTATCACAGTGACCTGGACTCCTCCCTCTCCACTGGGAGATACCACAGGCTACAGGATCTCCTTCACCACAGGCAGTGATGTGGATATTTATGGTAGCTCTACCAACAGCTACACTCTGACTGGTCTCACCAATGGACAGACATACACCATATCTATTGTTGCCACATCATCCGGTCTGCCTAGTGCACCATTGGTGGTCACTGTTAGTTTAGGTATGTCATAGCTTACACAGGTAGGTGTTTCAGTTTACAATGAGCACCCCACAAACAATCAGTGTGTGTACTCAGATATTTTGCTCCCACCACAGTTCCATCAGCTCCATACATTGACCCAACTCCAACAGTCACTACCACTACTGTCACCATCACTGGTAGTGTCCCCAGTGACTCGGTGGTGACTGGCTTCTCAGTCCAGTGGCAGAGAGACACCTCATGTGGTTGTTCTAATGAGGACGAGGGAAGCATTGTCACGTATGATTGGCTGCATAAGTATATTTTGGTTGTGTACTGTTAGTCTATGGATATTGGAAACTGCGTACAGTTTTAGGTGGGGTGATAGTAAGGGTAGTGTGTGTGCCTCCCTCTCTGTGGACTCCAGCCATGAATATTGGTTTAGACTTATCTCACTCTTTGGGACCTATTGCCTTCTGTGGTTCAGTCTATCTCTTCCTGCTTCCTGCACACACTACTCAAGGGCTGTTTTCTGCTCCAAGTTTTGGCTGTGGTGTTTCTCTGGTCAACTTTGAAATTCTCACTCTCTCTTAGGTAAGGCACTAAAGCTGTGTGTCTGTGTGTGTGAAGCTATGTAGTTGTATAAAGAGGCCAGCATATTGGGTGGAACCTTAGTTAGTTGTTAGACAGAGCCCAGCCTTGTGCACAAGTGTAGTTCTCACTTTTACTAAGCAGCAATGATACGTGTACCTACTTCTTTGCAATGCACCACTACTGTGTGTGAAACTATGTAGTATGTAGTAGAAGAAAGATGTAGGCCTGCATAGTCGACAGGACCTTATTTATGTAGTTGCATAGAGGCCTTAAACACAAACTCTATCTACTAGAGTAGCTCATCAATTATCGGATACCATCACCCGGACATAGCCATTTCTCTCGGACCAGACAGAGTTAGCTATCCTCGCTACGTTCAGTACCTCAGAGGGTGTCACTCAAAAGGCATGCACGGTACCAGCTTCGGCAGAGGGATAGTAACGCTACGGCGGCACAAAGATCGCTCACTGTCCGAACCACCGTCAGTCGGAACATGGCCCCTATGTTCGGACAGTGCATTTTAAAGCTAAAGAGACAGCGCTATGTACTCAGAAAACCTCAACACTATAATACTACAGCAGAACACGCAGTACCGTGTCGTACAGCTGTGCACTAACAGCCGGAATTTTGCACAAAGCATCCGCCCACTTAATTGCGCGCATGCGCTTGTCTGTTCCAACCGATTGCGCATGCGCATTTTAGGTAAAATAACGCGGATGCTAGTTCCCGAAGGGACGAACTTACGGCATATAACTCGCCTTGCCCTTGCAGTGAGTTGTAGGTAGACAAGACATTGCGGTCCGACAATTCGAAGGTGTCCGATAAAGAGTGGTCTCCGGTGATTGATGAAGTACTTCTAGGGGACGATGTCGGACGATCACGGTTACCCGATGGATTGTGAAAAGACAAAAAGGAGTTTTTCCCGACCTAAAGAGCTGCGTCAACTGCTGAGACCCTACGAGCTGGCCATGACCGCTAACAGGCATGGCGACCACGCCGTTATTGACCAGCACGAGGGGACAACTGGAGGTGCTGCGAACGCTCCTTGCCGAGCACGGCGTGCCGCTGGAGCACACTAACACGGACGGGAAAACGGCGCTGCACGAGGCTGCTCAGGAAGGTCACGTCGATTGCGTACGACTACTCCTGGGCTCCGGAGCGCAGGTCGACAACCTGAAAAAGGCCGATTGGTGAGCGCGGAAGACTTCGTGCCGCAAATTTTGTAATCATGTGTTTTTTTCCCGCAAGGACTCCACTGATGCTTGCATGTACTAAGGAAAATCTTGCAGTTGTGGAAGAACTGGTGAAAAATGGCGCATCTTTGAGTCTAGTAAACAAAGATGGGTGGACTCCTTTCCACATTGCCTGCAGGTATATATACATGATTGAAAACGGAGTAAACTGTGCTTCATGGAAAAACATTTGTAGAGAGGGTCACACTTTCATCGTAAAATTTTTGCTGGATTCTGACCCCGGTTGCTGGGATAGGAGGAGCAAGAACGGTCGCACACCGCTCCACACTGCAGGTAGGGTATACCCTTCCTTGTGTGCACACAGACAGTGTGAGAGAGGAAGGAAGCACCAGAGCTTATCCTTGGCTGGAATGGTGTTACAATGAAATAAATATAGCTGTAGTCCATAGAAGGCGTTGACAAATGAATAATAATGTTGAACATTGTTGGCGAGCGGGAACGACCCATATACTTAGCCACCAGCATTTAATGAGCTGCAGTAACAACACTATACCTAGCATATTTGTGTGAGCAGGAGTTATGATGCTACATGCAGCAGAAATAACTACACAAAATGAATGTGTAAAACACTTGCACACGGTTATACCCCATTTTGTGTACACAATGGATGTCCAGAAGGCAAACACATGCATGACTAGTTATGCCTGAGCATGCACAGTCAGCCGCTAGCGTTCGTGTCTTGGTGGGGAACAGAGCATCATAGCCGAGCATTGCCTGTCTAGGAACATGCATTACCACCCTCACTCATTCAGGAGGGCCAGGCGGGGACCATTTCTACACTGCTGTCCCTGGGAGCTGACCCAAAACTCACTGACAAGACAGGAAAGACTTGTGAATGAAATAACTGGAGGTTGTCACAGATAGTAACTGGTGCTCACTACTACTATGCATACACAAAGTTTTGATTGGAGGGTTGTATAGTGTAACCACTGTATAAACCTGCAAAAATGTGACCATTAACCCTCGGCGCGCGCATGCGCAGCGAGGGTTACAGTAATCGTTCTCTGTCCGTCAGTCCGTCTGTTACCACGATTTCTGCCACCACGCGCAACAAACAGGTAAATAAGCGACACCAGCGGGTTCAGCGCTACACTGGCTTTATTTTGAAATAGGCGATTTTCGTAAAAGTGCCGCGTTCAGAAGGTATCGCGTGTGAACAAGCCAATATGCTAATTAGCACTGGCTTACCTCGACCTGACGCTTGCTCTGTGTACCTCGGAGGCACAAGAGGCCACAACG